GTTCCCCTCTAAAACGTTGTAAAACTAAAACTTTTGTAAACTTTAGTGGGTAGGAGCTCGTTGTCCACCGGCTTTTTTTTTTGTCTTAATTTGATTTTGCTCTAAGAAATTCATGCTACAAATCAAGATTATCTTGAGATATATGCATTGATTTGAATCACAATACAAATCTCAAAGCAAAATCAAAGATGAAAAAAATGTTGGACATCAAGCTCTTATCCACTAAAGTCAGTGAGAGCTTACTCCTATGATCGATGCATTTAGAATCAAAAAGAACGGACAAAATGTCTCTTTTGAACTTATGCGACACGGCACATACGATTACACCTTTGAGAAGCATATCGATTCGTTAATCAAAATCATCATTTTCAATAACTTAATTATTTATCATTTAAAGAATATATAGATCTCAAAAATTAATAAATACCTAATTACCATTCTCATCCTCAGTTTGAAATTAAAGAAAACCAAGTTAGAATATGACTTGGAAAGCTTAAGGCAGCCGTTGCCGGCAGCTAAAGATCCTATTACGTTGACAAGGCAACTTTCTTTAGAAGGAATATTCTCATGATGTAAGTTTATACTTTAAGATAACTACTCTTATAATGCTTTTTATATTAAGGTATTGCTATAGGCTTCTGGCATCCAGATTTAACGTTTGATTTACGCTCAAATAACTTTGATGTGTTTTAAAATCCAACTACGATGTCAAGATTGAGATTGAGGCAATACATTATTTATTTAGACCCATTCTCATCCTTAATTCTGTGTTGTATGAGTGCCCCCTATCCCAAAACTCTTAAACCATTTTTCAATGTTTGGATATAGAAATAATTTCATTTCGAACTTTCTGTTATTCATTTTTAAGCTTCAGTCATACTTCTGAGCAGGTATTATGAGGATTTACATGTAACTGAAATGTCAAAGTTGAAAATAATTATGTTTCGCTAGTCACAAGGTTTATTACGAAACTCTTGAGTGAAGTAGTTTTTCTTCGTATCAGAGCGCTGGCCTTTTAAGAGGTCCGAGAATCAGGACCGGTCCTAAGCATTCGGGGGCTTTAGGCAAAAACTTGAACAAAAATCCTAAAGGGGCCCTCCTATATTCAAGATTTTTTTTTAAATAAAGTGTTGCACCCATGTAACTTTAGGGCTGCCTATATACCAATGAATGCTATAACTAATTTCAAGGAGCAAACACAATATAGTTCTCCTAAGCTACCCACCTTGGCCAAAGGCCTACAAATCACACCCTAACACTCTCATTCCCAAAACAAGATCAATGAACCAATAGAAGTATCACTTTATAAAACATCTTCTTGCATTTTTTAGATGCAAAATCATTAATTACACTTGTATAATCAAGCTTCTCCACTACATTTTTCTCAATTGACAATATAGCTAAGTCATTCAATCTTTCTTGTGACATAGTTGATCGAAGGTAAGATTTGATCAATTTTAACTTTGAAAAGCTTCTTTCAAAGACATAGTAAAAACAAAGTATTTGGCATACACTCCAAGATCCAATCATCATAAGATAAATCAAAACAGAACAAATACATATAGTAAAGCAGCTTAATTTGAAATGCACTTAGGATGCATTGCATAAAGAACAAACCCATGAATGGAAATTAGCATACAGTTCTGCAGAGATATCTTGAAAAAATATAACAGAAAGTCAACACATGCATAGCAGTTAATTTGCTCATTGTCCCGCTACAGTTGGAGCTTATAATCACACATAAAAAAGTTATAATGTGCAAGCAGCATTAAAAACAGTGTTATGTGCATAATAAAGCACGATGAAAGTTATATACCATCAAAAAATTAGCATATTGTCTACAGATAAATTATGAAGAAACAATGCAATCATTTGATGATAGTGGGGCCCTTGTTTTTTGGGGGCCCTAGGCGAAGGCCTCTCCGGCCTACCCATAGGGCCGGCCCTATCGAGAATCAAGTTCAAAATTTGTTATTGTTGAGGGTGGATATCAAGGACGGAGGTCCTTTAATCCTTCAAATGTCCTGTTCTAGAGTAGGTTGTTCTTTCCTGCACAAATAGCAAATTGTA